AAGGGGACTTAGCAGCGTTACAGATTGAACTGAAACAAGTTACCAAAGAATAAACAATTCAACAGCAGTGATAAACTTCATGGGGAAAAATCAGACTCTAGAGTTGATAAAATATACTAAAATGTCTGGTTTTCAGTGAAGTGTAATGTAAGTCATACACAAAAACAAAAAAGTATTCCCATATTCAGGGAAAAAAAAAGCCATCAGTAGAAATTGTTTGTGAGTGTAGCCAGACACTGGATTTACAAAGACTTTAAAGCAACTATTGTAAATATTTCCAAAGAACTAAATGAAACTGTGTTTAAAGAATTAAAGGAAAATATGACAACAATCAATAAAAAGTTCTGTAATAAGGAGATAGAAAGTATATGTTCAAAAAACAGAACTCAGTAGAAGTCACAAGTTGAAAAATGCAATAACTGACATGAAAAATTTACTGGAAAAAAATGACTAAAGCAGCTAACAGCAAATTTGACATAGAAGAAGACAGAATAAATGAACTTAAATTGAAAAAAATGAATGGAACTATGGAAACCTGTAAGACAATAGCAAATGTACCAATATACATATAGTGGTAGTCCCAGAAAGAGAGAAGAAAGGGAAAGGGACAGCAAAAAGAAATAATGGCTAAAAATTTTCCAAATTTGATGAAAAACATTAACTTATGTTTCCAAGAAACTCAGCAGACCTTTTGTAGGAAAATACAAAGAGGTCTACACTTAGAGATATTTAGACAGATTGTTGAAAGATGAAAAAAGGAAAATTTTGGAAGCAGTAAAAGGAAAATAACTTACATAGAAGGAAGCATTAATGTCTAACTGATTTTCAAAAACATTGGAGGACAGAAGATAGTGGAATGACGCAGTCACAGTGCTGAAATCAAGAAGTAGCAGTAAACTAAGAATTCAGCAAAATTATCCTTCAGAAATGAAGGTGCAGACAGACATTCCCCAATACAGAAAGACTGGAAGGATTTATTGCAAGCAGAACTGCCTTATAAGAAATGCCACAGTAATTTCTTCAGGCTGGAAAGAAATGATACCAGGTAGTAATTTAAGTCCAAGGAAGAAATGAGGAACACTGAAAATTGTAGCTGTGAGTTCATAGAAATGACCAAATATATTTTTTCTTATTTAAAAGATAAAAGATTGCATGTAGCAACAATTATAAAACCATGCTATTGAGTTTAACATATATAGAAGCAAAATCTAAATATGTATGACAATAATAGACAAAGGAAGGGGAATGTGGTGGCGCAAAGTTTCTACTTTTTGCTAAATTACTATTATTTTGAAGTAGATAAATGATGTTATAAGTGATATATTAAGTGATAAGATGCATATTGTAAGGATAAAGCAACTACTTAAAAAAAAAAAAAACCCCTAAAAACGAAATACTACATGAAAATTAGTAGAGAAACCAAAATGGTATAGCAAAAATCATTTAGCACAAAAGAAGGCAGTAAAGGAAGATAAAATAAGACTAGGAAACAAGTAGCAAATAGTAAATATAAATCTACCATGTCAATAAACTGAGTATCTAAACATGCCAAACAAAAGGCAGATTCTTTTGAGCTGGATTTCCAGCTATCTTCTGTTTATGAGAGATGCACCTTAAATTAAAAAAACACAAACAGATTGAAAGACAAAGGATGGAAAAGGATAAACCATACCACAGTAACGACAAAAGAGCTAGAGTGACAATATTAAATATCAGACAAAATGGATGTTAAGATAGGTTTGTTAGAGACTGACAAATGTTTCATAATGATTGTCAGCACATGGGTAGCTGAAACAATTACAAATGTATGTACACTAGTAATGGCCTCAAAATATAGGAAAAAAAACTGAACTGAATTGAAAGGAAAAATAGACAATAATAATAAGTGGACGTTCAATACCCCATTCTCCATAGTTTGTAGCAAACCAGTAAGGACATTGAAGACTCAAACAGGCGTAACTGACATGTTTAGAACACTTCACCCAGTGACCGCAGAATACACGTTCTTATCAAGTACACACAAAACAATTCCAAGGTATATCACATGCTAGGCCATAAGACAGGTTTCAGCATTTAAAGGGGTTGAATTCATACAGTGTATTCTGAACTACATTGTACACTGATTACAGTACCCATAACAATTAAAGTAGAAATAACAAGAGGAGATCTACTAAATCTACAAATATTTGAAGATTAAACAGTATACTTCTAAGTTATGTATAGGTCAAAGAAGAAATATCAAGAAAAGCTAAAAAAGATTTTTAAATGGAACAGAAAGGAAAATACAGTATATCAAAATGTGTAGGATGCAGCTAAATTAATTATTGAGGGAAATTTATGGCTTTAAATGCCTATATTAGAAAAAAAAAAAAAAAGGAAGGTTTCAAATCAAAGTCTTAGCTGGCACCTTATGAAACTATGAAACAAAGCCAGATGTGGTTATGTGTCTCTCTAGTCTCAGCTACTTGTGAGGCTGAGGCATGAGGATCACTGAGTCCAGGAGGTCAAGACCAGCCCTGGCAACATAGTGTCTCTAAATTTAAAAAAGAAAGAAATTATGAAAAGAAACTGTAAAAGTAAATCCAAAGCAAGCAGAAGAAAGCAAGCAGATGAGATAGAAAACAGAAGAATAAGAGTAAAATTAAACACACACACACACACACACACACACACACACACACACACACACACAGTAGTTCTTTGCAAAGATCAATAAAGTTGAGAAACCTTTAGCTGATTCCAAACTGTGCATAAAAAGGCAAAGGACGTATAATGTCCAAAACAATTTTCAAGATAACAAACTTGGAGAATTTATACTACCTGATTTCCACACTAGTTGTAAAGCCACGATAGTTGTAAGAGCATGGTGTTTTTCTAACAAATGGCACTGGGAAGCTGAATATGCAAATGCTAAAAACAAAATGAACTTAGACCCTTCATACTACATGCAAAGCTTAAGTCAAAATAGCTCATATACTTGTATATAAGAGTTAAAGCCGTAAAACCTTTAGAAGAAAACAAAGGAGAAAATCTTTGATGTTGGATCAGGCAAAGAAGTATTAGATGTGATACCAAAAGTATGGTCCTTAAAAGGAAAAATTAATAAACTAGGCTTCCTTAAAATTAAAAACTTGTGCATTCAAAAGTCACCATTAAGAAAATGAAGACAATAGGCTGGGTGTGGGTAGCTCATGCCTGTAATCCCAGCACTTTGGGAGGCTACAGCAGGAGGATCTCTTGAGTGCAGGAGTTTGAGACTAGCCTTGTCAGCGCAGCGAGACCCTGCCTCTATGAATAAATAATAAAAATATAAAAATTTTAAAGAAGGAAAATGGAGACAAGCCACAGACTGGTAGAAAATATTTGCAAATCATGTATCTGATTAAGGACTTACATTCAGAACTTATATAAAGAACTCTTGTAATTCAGTAAGATAGACAATTCAGTTTTTAAATGGGCAGAAAGTTAGATATTTCACCAAGAAAGCTATTTGAATGGCTAAAGAGCACATGAAAAGATGCTCAACATTATTAGTTGTTAGGGGATGTAAATTAAAACCTTAATAAGATACTAGTAATACTGAGAGAAGGGCTGTTATCAAAATGACAGACAGTACCAAGAGCTGAGGATGTAGAGAAACCAAAACCCTCATCCATAAATGTTTGTGGGAATGTAAAATGGCACAACTACTTTGGAAAAGTTAGGCAGTTTTATAAAAAGTTAAGCATAAACTCATTATTGGACTCTGCAATTCTACTTCTAGGAACATAAGAAAAATGAAAATATATGTCTATACAAAGACATATACATGAACGTTAATAGCAGCATTATTAATTATAGCCCCAAACTGGAGAAAGTCCAAGTGTCTAAAAACTAGTGAGTGGATTAATGAAGTATGGTACAGCCAAACAATGGAATACTAAGAAATAGGAATGGACCGTTGATACCTGATACAACGTGGATGACTCTCAGTAACAATGTGATGAGTGAAAGAAGGCCGCAGCAAAAGACTACATAGTTTATGATTGGTCTTATATGAAATGTTCAGAAAGGGCAACTTTATAGAGACAAAAGGCAGGTTAGTGGTTGCCTAGGACTGGGGATGGGAGTGGGGATTAACTTCAGATGGCATGAGGAAACTATTTAGGGTAATCAAAATGTTCTAAAACTGGATGGTTGCACAACACTTTAAATTTACCAAAAGTCATCAAATTGTACACTTATAATGGGTGAATTGTATGCTATGTAAATTATCTCTCAGTAAAGCTGTTAACACAAAAATTTGAGGGTGCCTGAATGTCACAAGGCATATTCTTCCAGCATGCCTTGGGTTCCTGTATAATTGTATATGACTACTGCTGTTTTCCCACCTTTTCAATAACTCTGTTACATGCAACATTATTAAGCCACAAAAAATTTTCACTTATTTTACACATTATTCCGATTTCTGAAGAAACCAAAACTTGTTTCATTCATTAGATTAAATTATTTCATTTGTGTCAACTATGCCAAAGACTAGTGATTTTGGAATACTAATCAGCTTATTCACACTTTAGGTAAAGTTTAGTCTCAATACGTACATAGTTCATTAGGGGTCTAAAGACTTACTGTGCTTCCCAAATTTCCTAATCATGAAGGAAGTAACTGGCTTCTCAGAATCTAGTGCAGTATCTAATTAATGTCATGATGTACTTTTGGAGTAGGAAACTGATAGGTGTAACTATCCTATTATACTACCTGAGGATGAGGGAAACAAAGTGAGTTACTCAAGGCCATGTTTCCCATCAGCTGAAAAGCCGTAAACTCAGTTCAGGTGTCTCTCACACCCCACAGCTAGAGTGGTATTAGACATAGTTCCCTTTCAAGAAAACATGATCACTTGGCTATTAATCAAGACTATTTGTTATCAGGGTTGAATTTAGAAGTTGTTTCCTTTCAAATATTGGTTTTCTTTTGATTTGCTGGTTAGATTCCTGTTACTCACTAAGTCTGTCTTTTAGCTCTTGCAGTTCAATCCTCTGGAGCGACTTGGTGCTGGAGTTGCTGGTGTTGAAGATATCAAATCTCATCCATTTTTTGCCCCTGTGGATTGGACAGAACTGATGAGATGAACGTAATGCAGGGTTATCTTCACACGTGCTGATCTTCTCTGTGACAGGCGTCTCCAGCACTGAGGCACCTCTGCCTCGCAGTCACTTACGGAGCACCAAAGCATTTGGATAAGGACCATTGGAGGAAATGGGGGGAAATGGCTAAAAGAGAACAATTTGTTTACAATTACTAGATATTAGTTAATTTTGCAAGAGGCGGTGATATACATATCTTAAACCAAGGTGTGATCTGAATTTAATCCACATTTGGTATTGCAGATGAGTTGTAAAGCCAACTGAAAGAGTTCTTCAGGAAGTTCCTCCGATAGGAAGCTGTGAGTGTAGAATGAAGTTTTACTTGAAAGAAGGACCTTTACATGGCAGCTAACAGTGCTTTTTGCTGACCAGGATTGGTTTATATGATCAAATAAATATTTGCCTAATAATACACTAAAAGTATTTCATGAATAATGTTATCAATGCAACTTAAAAGTGAGGGAAAAAAAGAGAATATGCACGTAATTTCTGATGGAAAACCTGTACCCTGATGCTGTGTAGTTAATGTATGTTGAATGTGGTCCCGGATTATTTCTGTGAGAAGACACTCCATGTTGTCAGCTTTGTCCTCTTGGTTGATACTACTTATTTAGAGAATGGTTCATATAGACACTCACTCTGTGTCTTCAACAGCATCTTTCTTTCGCCATCTTTCCATTTTCTGCACCCTCTGCTTGTTCCTTCATATTCCATTCTTCCTACTCCTGCTAACACACATGCAACAAAAAAGGGAAGGAAGTTCTTATTTTTCCAAATTGTGTGAGTACTAAGAAATCATGATGTCAAATAAACATGGTGAAACATTAGGTCTCTTCTTCTTTTAATATCCCACCCTCTTTTTTTTTTTTTTTTTAAGAAATACCTCTGTTCCTTTCCTTGTGAAATATTATCCATTTCTACCATTGCTTCTTATGCTTGACTTTGTTTTACTTTTTGGCTTGGAATACTGAGAAGCAAAGGATTTCATCTAAATGGAATTGAATGGCAATCCTAGTTGTTACTTATGGTGATAAGATTCTCAGATTTGAACTAACCTATTTGACATGATGTAGAAAGAATGTAAGTATTCACACATCTCCAAACATTTGTATTTGTTACTTCTTTTTGTTGCTAAGGTATCTCCTGTAGTTATGCGTTGTTGCAAAAATGTACAATTGCTTTAAAAGTGTTAACATCTGTTTTTTTTTTTAACTGTAGACAAAGAAGAAGTCACTATTTCCAAGTTAGAAACCACCAGAAATAATAGACATTTTTGAAGTGTTTTAATTTTCTTTGTGTTTTTGAGATCTGGGTGGGAGCCCACCCCCACTCCAGGAGCATCTGTACAACTACCATCTGCCATCAACCAGGTCCTCCCATCTAATTAAATGGAACAGAAAATGCTCTAGTGAAACAAAGGAAATGTGCAAGCATTTTCCCTTTTTCTTTTTGTTTTTTCTGTTATTCTACTTCCCTTTTTCCTTTTTGGCCCCCTTATAACCCAAACCCCAGCTGAAAGGCTGCAACAACACCAGGTTGGGGAACAGGTCACCAGGATCATAGTTCAGTCAAGATGACATCACTCCCTGGAACTAGATTTCAACTCACTAGTTCCCTGGCCTCATAACAGGAACTTACGCAGGTGAGACACAAGAATGACTTCCTGTGTAGGACTAGTAGGAAATCTGCAAGTACTTAGAGCTGGCCATGACAGAACTTCCTTCCAGAAGTGCCCTGTGACATGAAAGTAGGACTTCACAACTAAGGTGAAGATCCTGTCCTACCACATGATTTGAGGCTCTTGGATTCAAAGGACATTAATGTCAGCAGGTGGTTGCTATGTCAGTCTGTTGACACAATGCATTGCTTCCGTTTCTCCCCATTTCTCTCTATATGTTTGATTGGAGCTTGTGCTTAATGTAAATACATCACTCATAATTATAATGGTCATGAATTATTTTAGTAATAAACACAGGATAACTGGCTTTGGAGTGATGAACCAAAGTTTATTTTATTTTATTTTATGATGTGTACGTATTTTAAGCCGTAATTCTGTGAATGATTCTGATTTTTCTGGTTGGTTTTTAATATTTTATTTGTTTAAGCAGAGGAGTAGAATATGGGGTCAAAATCATAAAAGAAGTTGCCATGAGTGTTTCTCATTTGATTTTTTTATTGTGCTAAAATATATATAACATAAAATTCACCATTTTAACCATTTTAAAATATATACTTTGGTAGTGGCATTAAGTACATTCACATTTTCATGCGGCATCACCACTGTCCATCTCCAGGAATACTTCATCATCTCAAATGGAAACTCTGTACCCAGTAAACAATAACTCCTCCCCATTCCACACTCCAGCTCCTAGCAACCACTATTCTATTTTCTGTCTCTATGAATTTGAATTTGGTTATTCTAGGTACTTCATCTAAGCAGAATCATACAATATTTGCTTTTTTGTCCTGGCTTATTTCACTTAGCAAAATGTTTTCAAGGTTCACCCATGCTGTAGCATTTATCAGAGTTTCCTCCCTTTTAAGGCGGAATAATATTCCATTGTATGTATTACCACATTTTGTTTAGCCATTCATCTGTCAGTAGGCATTTGGATTGTTTCTACCTTTTGGCTGTTGCGAATAATGCCATTATGAATATTGATAGTACAGATATGTGTTTGAGTCTCTGCTTTCTCTCGTTCAATTTTGTGTTTTATTTTTATATGAAATTACCAATATCATTGACCATTATTCTACCATGCTTTTTATAGAAAGGTTTTTCCAGATAGATTGCAAATATCACTATGGTGCAATGCCGCTTATCCTAGGATATGATATAAAAATGTTTCTGTATCAAAGATGGATAAATTAACCTTCTCAAGAGTAAAAAGAATGTCATTGTTTTAGCAATTTATGACATTAAATAATACTATTTGATACATGGACCTTTTCAACTTGCTTTAATAACAATTTTTTTTGTTTTATTTTTAATTGACATGCTAATTATGTATATTTATGGTATACAGTGGGATGTTTCCATATATGTATACATTGTAGAATGATCAAATCAGGCTAATTAACTCATCCATCACCTCAAATACTTATAATTTCTTTGTGCTGACGGTATTTAAAGTCCACTGTTTTAGCTGTTTTGAAAAAGACAATACATTGTTAACTGCAGTCACCATGCTATGCAATAGATTGCCAGAACCTGTTCTTCCTGTCTAATTGAAACTTTTACCGTTTGACCAGCATCTCCCCTTCCCTCATTCTCCCCCGGCCCCCAGCCTCTGGTAACCACCATTTTACTTTCTACTTCTATTAATTAACTGAATTGTTGATAATATATTGAAACCTGTCTTTTAAACAGCTATGATACCTATGGTGTTTTGACCTTCACGCTTTTCCCATCGCTTGACTTATTTCAAGGTCAGTGTGAACCATGATTGACCTTTGCTTCATTTGGTGCATGTACTGACGAGCATAAAATGTATAGATAGTTAATACTCATGCTATAACTAGTAACAATATATTAGAGCTCCACACCTAGTATGCCTTGATTGAATTTACTTGCCCAAAAGTTTGGAATCCAAATAGAAAGAGGTCTGTAGCTCCAAAAATCTCTGCCTCCCAAGGTCTCCTCAGAACATATTTATTGGATTCACTTACGGATATCTTTCTGGTAAAGGCCAAAGCATAAAGCTGATCATCTTTTTTTCTTTAGAGGAGTTAATTTAAACTCTGGTGTATCTAAATGCTCTGTGTAATGGTGCCTGGTATTTCACTCTTTCTTTGAGAATTCTGCCATAATGGAAAGTCTTAGAATGGTGTCTGGTCATGTCTCTGTGACTAATTAGCCATATAACTTTAATCAAATAACACTATTCTGGACCTGTTCCCTCACCTGTAGAATGAAAGGGTAGGTGAGTTCTAAGCTCTGCAAGTATATGATGGATTTTCTGTTTTTCAGAGTGAGCTAATTTGATAAAACAATATTATAGGGAAGGCAAGGGTTCTTAACTGTTTTCTTATTGTTTTCTAGTAATCCCAGATGCTTGGGTTGCTGCCGTACACCCACTCAGTGGCATAGCCCTTGGTGGTTATATGGTTATAAAAATTATAAATAAAATTAGATATTAAAAGGTTATTTCTCATTTAGTTCTACGCTGGAAAAGGAGAGTTGAAGGTGCAGATAGCAGTGCACAGAGGTGAAAGGAGGTTAGGGCACACCTGCGTTTGCCTATTTCCTAGACCTTTCTCAGTAACTATGGAGGTATTCCTACCCCTGTTGCCCTCATGTATCATACTTTGTGTGTTTATTTGACTCTGACAGGCATAATCAAAGTAAAAAATTGATACTTTTTGTTCCTATTTAATGCAGAGCATTAACCTCTACCAGTCTAGGTAATTTAGATTTTTGAGTATTTTATGTCTACTAGGCTAATTTAAGGATTTCGTATTAAGCCCTCATACTGAAGGGTTACTGAATGGCAAAAGCTGTGAAGTCAGCTATTTCTAAATAAAGTTGTAAACAGAATAGCAGTAGGGAAATGGAAAGCAAAGTACCACAGGTTTTTGTGACTCAGCATCACTTACTCTCTCAAGGACAGTACATAGGAAACCAAAGAGCATGCTTCCTTTTTGGTAAGATTTATGATCCTGGTTGTGTTACGTAGTCAGATGGTATGGCCTTGTATTTTTGGTCCCTATCACATGATTTTCTCACTTGATCTAGCTGTCTCATCTCATGGAGAAATGGAGGCAGAGAGAATTTGTGGCGGTGTGAAAAAGTGACCTGAGCCAGTGAGGTGGGTTAGGGAGAGGCCGCAGAGCACATGGCAGGTATGTTGGCCCAGGTACTTGGAATAATAGAGAGCCGTCTTTGTTGATCTGGACTTAAAGTATAATTCCTTGTTCTTCCCCAAGGTAGAGTGAGGCAAAAACTGAAACGATGTCTACTATCCCAGGAAAAGAGATGGCCCACCTGCCTTTTTAGGAAAGGATTAAGTGACATGCTTATCCTGAGTCAGTTCTATTTCCATCTCCTTGCTAAAGACAGCTGATATGGCTGGTAGTTTAGGCAGAGGCCGTGAGTGTTTGTAAAGGGCTGCTGTGATTTCTTTTGGGCAGGAATGCCTCTTGCTGAATGTGGTAGGAAAGAATGACAAATGAGCCAGCTTTGGGGCACATTTAGAATTGCTGGCATCTTGCTTTTGTAAATCTCAAAAAGTTTCATACCGAAAATTTCATATCAACTCTGTTGATCAAATTCTTCTAAAGCTGGGCACGGTGGGAACGCTTGTAATCCCAGCACTTTGAGAGGCTGAGGTGGGCGAATTGATTGAGTCCAGGAGTTCGAGGCCAGTCTGGGCAACATGTTGAAACCCTGTCTCTACAAATAATGCAAAAATTAGTTTGGGCACGGTGGCGCAAGCTGTAGTCTCAGCTACTTGGGAGGCTGAGTGGGAGAATCGCTTGAGCCCAGGAGGTCAAGGCTGCAGTTAACCTTGATCACATCACTGTACTCCAGCCTGGGCAACAGAGTGAGATCCAGACTTAAAGAAAAAAATCTTCCTAAAATTTGGGTATTTGGTTAGGAATCACAAGACAGGTATTTGATTAACCCCAGCAAGAGGCAGATATCAAAGGGGACTGTAGAAGAATTTGAGCCTGTTTCAGTGCCAATATAATGACTGAAATGTGTTGTTGCCCTTATCATGTGGATATACATATAAAATTGACCCAATAGAAAACAAGAAGAAAAGGAGATGTCATGTTTGCAAGACATTTAAGATAATTTGTAGAACGGTTGAGTCTCTCAGGATTG